ATTCACACCCATCACAGGTGCCTACAGTCCAACAGTCAATTTGTAAAATACACTATAATGTATTTTTTAAAAAAGTTTTGTTGGGGAAATACTGTTCTCATTATCCAAGAGAAGACTTAAGAATAAGAGGGACATTTATTAACCAATTTAATTTCTGTCTAAAATAATACAGATTCTAGCCCCTATGAAAGTGAAGGACTTAAAAATGTATTTTATGCCAGCCCAAAATAAAAACAAAGCTTGTTTGAGCATAGTAAGGTATGTATAATACCTTTCTTTTGATGATTCATACATAACCTTTGATGATACCTATAGACTGAATGCTATATTAAGTGTTCAATTGATGAGTTTTTCCATATTCAGCCAAATTGCCAAATCTCTAAATCTTCTAAACTGGCCGATAGAGTATTTCATCCCAAACTCTCCATGACATGCTAATAAAATTTTGGTGTTCGGGCAGGGGAGGAGGGAAAGAAGATTCAGAATTTAATTTAAACTAGTTTTTTTTTTTAAAGATTTATTTATTTGTTTAACTAGTTTTTTTATTTATTTAAACTAGTTTTTTTTTTTTTTTAAAGATTTATTTATTTGTACATACAGAACTAGGGTACAGGCCAGAGGCTCAGGGGTGGCGAGAGGCTTCACCAGAGACAGAGTGGGGAACAGAACAGGCAGATTGACGAAGTACACTGCTGAGGGGAGCAGCGGGCGGGTCAGGAGAGGTCTGCCACGCCATGTGGTCACCTCCGGGGCAGGCGGGAATCGAACTCATGCGGAAGTGGCTTTAGCTTCTCAGTGCAGTGCTTTAACCCGCTGCGCCACCAGGGAGGGCCCTAAACTAGTTTTTAATGTTATTATTTTTTAAAGATGTAATGATACTTGTTAAAAGATTTAAAAGACTGGGAAGCTCCAAGGAGTGGGGGAAATAGGGTTCTCTGCCTAAAACTTCTTTGTACAAAAAAGTCTAGCACAACTAACAACTATAACCAAACATATATTATACATTAAACTCAAAACTGTATAATGTATAACACAATATATAGCTTCACAGTCTTTTTGAGTTAGAACCAAAGGGTATCAAAATTTACTACACATGAAACAGTTTCAAGCCACAAATAATTAGAAACTATTTCAATCTTCCCAAAGAGAAAAAAATATTATATTATTATTTGTACAATTTGCAAAATTTACCTCTCCACAGCAAATGGAATGCTTCCAGGTTGCCAGCACACACAGTGATTTAAAGGCAATGTCCTGGCACCCCTTTGTGCAAAACTATCTCTTAACAGACTTGTAATTTGCCATTTTAAAACAGGGGTCTAGATACATGGACTTAACTGTGGGTCTCTATTACAAAATTAAGCACAGGCATTAATTCATTTATAGTAGGAAGTTTTTAGTTTTGGGCTAGTTCTAGGCGATTAGAAGTTCTCTGAACAGATATAGGACGTATTTTTAAGTAGCACTTTTCTTATAAAATGTGACAGCTTTATTAGGTGTTATCAAAGCTAAAACAAAAGAATAACTCAATTATTTATATGATAATTGATCAATGGTTCCAACAATATTACCATACATTCATTATGAAATAATTGACTATAAATTCCCTTAAATCTTGGCTTTTTATCTTGTATTTCATAAATATTTACTATCTCTCATTATTACTTGATAGTGTGCCCAGAAAGCAGTTGCTTTTCTGTGGGAGCATCAGGAATCCTCAACCTTTTGTTTTTCTTTGGTCTTGCACACGTTAGCATACTGAGTAAAAGGAGAGCTCATATTTAAAGGACCACATTTCCAAAGACATCTGTCATAAAAGCACCACCCTTAAGAGAAGACAGCCTTGTATAGTCTAAGGTTCATTGTCATGAATGCAAACATGGGTTCAAGTTTCTGTACTGACCTATAAAAAGTAAAAGTTTGGAACTGGGGTTTAAATTCAGCTCTATTAAGTTCTGCCTTTGGTAAATTTCTTGACTTTCCTAAATTGTGAGTTCTCATACAAAAAAAAGGGGCTGCCATGTTATATCTCAAAGATAGTATAGGGATTAGGTACAATCAAATACATAAAATATTCTAGTTGGCAGAATTTTAAGATGGTCCCTATGATCTTTGCCCTCTAGTGTTATTCCCAAAACTGTGTTAGTTTATATGGCAAAGGAGTGATTGATTATTCAGGTGTGCCTAATCTAATCACATGAATTCTTAAAAAGGATTGAGTTTTCTCTGGGTGTAGAAGCAGAAGGCATACGTATCTGAGGTACAAAAAAGATTCAAAGCAGTTGGGGGCTTTGAAAATGGAGATGGCCACAGGCCACGGAATATGAGTGGCTTCTAGAAGCTAACAACAGTTACAGGCAGACAGCCAACAAGGAAACAGGCCTACAGCCACAAAGAAATGATTTCTAGGAATCAGCTTGGAAGCAAATTCTTCCCTAGTTTACAAATTACTGACCAATCTGAATAACCTTGGATTTCAAACTTTTGAGATCCTGAATATAAATCCAGCTAAACCTACCCAGACTTCTGACCTAAAGAATAAAGGGGTGTTGAGTTAATTAAAAGGTGTTGTGTTAACCTGTTAAATTTGTAATAATTTATTATGCAGCAACGGAAAACTATAACTAGCACTTATTGGTTTGTGAGAAAGGAACTATATAACTCACAGGGTCAAACAAATCGTTTGGCTAGCTAAGTTATAAGTGCCACCCTATTCTTCCATAAGTGTAAGAATTAATTTTAGTAACTGATTTTTTTAAAAGATTTATTTATGCATACAGAACTGGGGTACAACCTGAGGTGCAGGGGCGGTGAGAGGATTCACCAGAGACAGAGTGGGGAGCAAAATAGGCATATTGATGAAATACACTGCTAAGGGGAGCCGCGGGCAGGTCAGGAGAGGTCTGCTGCATCATGTACATCACCTCCAGGCCGGGGATCAAACTCGCAATGAAGCAGATAGGGCTCGCTTGCACTGCTGCGTCCTAACCCATTGCACCACCTGGGAGGGCCCAAATGTTAGTTTTTTATAACTATTGTGTCACATCTTGAACAGGCTGTCATGCTTGTAGGCCTCTTCCATTCACTCTCCAGATCCATTCGACACCTCAGTGCTCTGTGCTGTGCTGTGCTGTGCTTGGAGAGGCTGACCCCACAGAATTACAGCAGTGGGCTGTTGGGTTATCTTGTTCCCAGCAGTGAGTGAAGTCTGAGTATGTATTTCCTGACTTCCTGCAAATATACAGATATGTGTGTGTGGGGGGAAGTGATCCTTAAATTGACTTGGAGGTATGTGGAAACAGTGAAAGATGGCATTATAGACTGAGTACAGGAATTTCAAGGAGCAGCATGTGTTTGGCAGTTGGAGCACAAGGAACTTGGAAGGAAGGTAGGAGATGAGGTACAAGCAAGGTAAGGCCAGAAGATGATGTTTAACATTAAAGATCAAGATTTTTTTTGAAAAGATTAAGTTCAGTAGGAAAGCACTAAAGGTTCTCAAAATATCAGAAATTACATTATAGTATCTATTTTCAAAAGACATTTCCTGTGGTTGTATGGAAGACCAGGCTGATGATAGGTGGAGAACAACTTAGCTCTTTTCCGTAATAGAGCCATGAAGCCCTGTGGGTCTCAGAAGTTGAGGGACACCAAGGATATGGAGGAGAAAACAGTAGGGTCCTGGAACCCTACTTTCATTTCAGTCTTAGCAGTTCTGTGGTGTTAGAACGGAACTAGAATCTTGGTTGCATTCAGGACAGCCAGCCTAAAGTCTTTCACTTCAAACTGAAAACTGGCGAATCTGAAGGTCAAAGGCTCATCTGTCTCAAGCTTTCTAGTTGAGGTTGAAAAAAAAAAAAAAAGAATATCATAAGAATTCTGAGAGAAAAATATCTTTGGGCTTATGTCAGGAAAAAGACAGAACTATTAAGTAATACAATTTGGGGACTATATAAACCTGAGATATATTAGAGATTGCCCCAAAGTCCTAGTTTTTCACAGCTTTTAAAAATTTTCAGACAATACTCAGGTAATTAAATAACTGTGTGGAAACATTAAAATAAAATATATATATTTTCATTTCAGTCTTTAGCAGTTCTATGGCCCTAGTACAGAACTAGAATCTTTGTTGCATTCAGGACAGTCAGCCTAGAGTCTTTTACTTGAAACTGGAAACTTATTCACCCTGAAGGTCAAAGGCCCATCTTGTCTCAAGCTTTCTAGATATGGTTGAAAAAAAAAATTACCGCCCCAGCAATCTGCTCTCTTCTGATAGTTTTATTTGAAAATACCACATTACAAATAAATTACAATATATAGGTAACATATATAAAACAAGAATTACTATAAACTAAGTTTCATTTTCAGAGAAAAGATGCTACCACTTAAGAATGAGTTTTAAACATCTCATTAGCAGTTTTGGCAAATACTCCAGTCAAATTAAAGTCTTTTGAGGTTGTAAAGTAAAAGCCATGCCCAGCAGAGGGCAGTGCAGTTCTCTACAAAGTACACTGAGCTCACTAGACCACACATTAGTAGCTGAAAACAATGTCGTGCCTAGCGACTTTACCTTTCTCTAAAATGTAACATAAAGTTCCCTGGTAGTAAAAGATGAGGTATTAATACCTTATAATTTAAGAAATCCCTGAAAAAATTTAACTGCCTACAAATTAAGAGCTGTAGTTACTGTTTTTAAAGAATAATAATTAAATTAATAAACGGTCCTAGAAAATTACCACAATCTTATTTGCTACTCATAGAAGAGACAAATTCAGTACTCAAGACTCAGAGTAAATCTGGAAAACACAGCAAATAAATCAAGCATTTCTAAAAATAGTTACTATGGTCCAGTTAGCTCTGTCAGGTTTAATGACAGGAATTATTGCTTAGAAGAAAATATAACATATCTACAACTTACAACCATGCCAAATAACTGTAAGAAATTTCCACTGTCTGAGCAACCACTGCCACAGAGTAGAAATTTCTAGTTTTTAAAACATTACCTCCAGAAGTGCAGTTCAAATCCTTCACATTTTTCTTTGCATTTTAAACAGGGGGCTCCAAATCCTTGCTCATGACCTAAGCCCATCTGTTAAAGAAAAAGAAACATGGTTCTATTATTACATTTATTAAAAACCTCAAAAATGCAATAAATTGCACTTTTAATTCCACTTACCATTCATTCCTGTTGATCTAACTTTCAAACAAATTTAATGAGTATCACATTGTTTAGTTAATGATGACACCAAGTACTTTATGGTGACTTAATGTGCATACATAACGTACTTGGTATTCCTTTTTTTTTTTTTTTAATTTTTCATGAAAAGCATCAGAATACAACTCTATCACAGTGTATAGGTATTTGAAGACACAAAAATTCATGAGTCTTTCTAGCCATGGTCATTCTCATATACAACAGCTATAAGTGCAATCCATGAGTAAGAGCTTAGAAAATATGCCTGGCCCCAAAAGATGTATTTTGCAGCAAACAAAAAATATGTTAAAGATAGGAATTATGATGAAAATAATATTTCATATTATCCTAAGTAAGAATAGCAAAGTCAAACATTTACTGAATTCCAGGAATAGAGGTGAACACTTATCTCACTGTAATCTTAAGAAAACCTTAGGAAATGCAATACATGAGCATTTTAGAGATGAAAACTATACTTTTGAGAGGTTATGGAACTTGCTTAACATCCAAACATTAATAAATGGTAGAGCAGATCTGAATCCCAGTCTGTCTGGCGCTGCGGCCTGTGCTCTTTATTATGTGTGAGGTGCGGGTGGGAGGCTGTACCATGCATGGCCTTTTTTACAGCAAACCATTTTATTCTTTTACTATTTTAAATAATAATCCTTGGAAACTTGCTGAGAGATGACCTAATGAGCAGAAGGGGAGGAAGTGCACAGGCAGGACATGAGAAAGCAGTGTAAGCTCTTTTACCCAACGATTCATGTAAGAATGAAAAAGATCAATTGGCTTTGCAGCAACACGTTTGCAAATCATCAGTGACTAAATTTTCTATATTTTAAATATCACATCAGTGACTAAATTCATTACCAGCTAGTACCTGAATAAGAGTTCAAGCCAGGCAAATAAAAGGCTTCTTTCAATGATACCCTTTTGTAACCGTCACCAAGTTGTGTTGTCACTATGCATGTCACTCTGTAATTGAAACTAACTGAGTTTAAATGGGCATAATAAAAGGACCCTTCCTTTTTTCCAGAAAAAATTGCCACATGACTCTAGGGACATATTTAGATCCAGCTGGTCTACATGGCTAATTATTTTTAAAGTCATACTGTCCAGCTTACTGCTTAATGGTGATAAAAGTCTGTGCAGCACTAACTAAACCTCACCTTTGCCATGTGTCCATTACCAGTTTGTGAAATGACAAACAATTTAATGTTGGAGGACATTTTTCTTCTTCTTCTTTAAGGAATCAAATTTTTTAGAGAGAGAGAGAGTGTGTCCTTTTTGGCCTTAGTATCCATAGCAGAAAAGATCTGCTCCTGGTCACACAGCTAGTCAATGAGAAGTTACCCCAAACACTCAGGATCTAACAGGTGCTCTACAGTGCTACTGGGGCAAGACAGCTATGAATGTATGGGATAAACTCTTGAGTCTTCCACAGAAATTCCCTGGATTATTTCTGCTTCAAAGAAAAGGACTACATGCTCCTAGAGCCTCCTGTAGCACCTCTAAAAGTAGGTGACTTTTGGAGAGCTGTATAGAGACAAGATCTGAACTGTCAGGGAGGCTGAGGAAGCTCTTTTGAACAGCAGTGCTTGAGAAGAGATCAAAAGGATGAGCAACATCTAATCCTACAAAGAGGAAGAACTACATTCAGGACAGGGAACACCACAGGCAAGGGCAATGGCAGGACAGGGCATGTTGGGAGCTAAGAATATCTTAGAGCACCTGAAAGTGACAGGGCCAGGTACTAGCAGGCAGAATAGAATTACACACACACACACACACACACACACACATTTAATATAGAAGACATTCCAGAGATAGTGTGAGACTGGTTAGGATGGAAGGGTTAGAGAACAGCTATGCAGGCACTGGGAGGGGAGTGAGAGGGAAGGGGTAGGGGATAACATCACCTTTCTCTCAGCTTTGGTAGTCAAACCTCAGAGAAGGGACCCTGGAGGAAGACCAGGAGATCAACTCTGAGGAAAGCAGCAATTTGGGAAATGGCTCTTGCAGCTTGTGCTAGAAAGCTTATGTAGATAGTACCCCCCCGCCCCCCTCCACATGCTTTTAAACTCCCACAGGCCTGCCCGAAGGGCTAATTTTGTTTTAATCATTCACATTTCTTTTATTTATATCTTTTACATTATTGTGTAGTCCCCATAAAATTCCCACCACCAATTCATCTGTGAACCCAACTTAATCTCCATTAGACTCCTTGCGGCACAGTCTGCAAATACCTGAAGAAAGTGTTCTTTTCCACCTTTCCAAACACATACTTTCATCTTCCCCATATGTCCAGAAATAGGAGTGAGACCATTCTGAAAGTATCACAGAGATTCAGCAAGTAAAAGAGAGGAATGAGGTCATGACAATGATATATTCTCCTGCTATTCTAATTAAAAATAAAGATGCTAACAATAAAGACACCTCATTTTCAAATCACTGTTAGCAGTTAAAGCAATTGGAGATGCTTTCAGATTGACAATAAACTTATTTTCCTAGAATAATTTCATTAAGAGAAGTTAGTTTTGTTACATAAATGTATAGTTATAAAACTTAAACATCAGTTTAAGCAATGAAGATCCCTCACTTATGCCACCTACTACCTTATCTTCTTTATCAGCGCTATGAGGTTAAAAATGCACAACCTCTCTTCCTCAAACTGCTAAACATGGAGCTTCCCTACGACCCAGCAATCCCACTCCTAGGTATCTACCCAAAAGACACAAAAACACTGATTGAAAA